CATCTCCAACATCTACCAGAGAAATATATGCAGTCCACATATTTAACCTGTACACATCTACTCACCACTCACACCACCTACTCCCGGAAGAAGGTCAGACAATTCTCTGCTCTTTAATTTACTGCACACATTCATTTTTTGTGCATAGAAGGACTGTTTTACTAATAGGGAGTTTAAGTGGCTAGGGGAGGCATCCAACTGTGATATTACATTAACCCATAGTGCTTTACTCTGTCTGCCAGTGACTGCAGAATAAAGAGAACATGCTCGGCTCTACTCTTTAGCCTTCAGAAATGCTATTTGAAATAATGAGGATTTATAGGGAGCTAACAGATTCTTGCTCCTGACTTAGAGCCGCTCTCTCAAGACTCACAGGCATCATTTTAAAGCACCTTTAAGGCTACGCATTGTCGTCTTAAGTTCTCGTATTTTCAGAATGTTTTTTTTCAAAACCGCATTTAGCCCGTATTCATTTGATATATTCTGCGCCATTTTTTCATGTCCCACAGGCTGTACTGTAGAATGACCAACATGTTTTCATAGAATACGCCGAGACTAGAATTTCAAACTCTGTTGCATTTTGTTATGAGCTAGAGGGCCAGAAACCAAATGAGTAACACTACCTGCCTGCACACCAGCTGGCCCCTGGGGCCCTAGGAGACCGGTCTACTGCCGGAGTGACATGGTCAGCATGTTCTACGGATCCTGTCCAGGGTACTCTGTATAAGTAAAATTAATGAGGCTATGTTATCCATAAACTCGCAGCATGTGTTCATAAGCTAAAGGCTAACTGAACTGTAGGAACCCGTCGAAATAGGTCAGACTATGCAGGGGTCCTGAGAAATGTTATTTGAATAGGAAATATATTTCCTGGCCGTCGCCGTGTATTTCTACGTGCTCGTATTTTCTCGCATGCTTTATCACAGATCAACAACATAAACGCCTTACAAGCCACACCGCCTTATCCGATTGCCTTTCCACAATATATCTGGTCGTATAAAAAATGCATACTTAAATGTTGCTTTGTGCAATTACTGTGTCAGCTCAGGCGTAAGCGCGGTCGCACAGGTTTTTCACTTTATGAGGATGTGTGTGCGTGCTCAGGGCTTGTATCTTGTATCTACACCCCTGTTTACTCACATCGCCAATTAAATATTAATGGTGTGACAGTAAGAGGTTACAGTGATGTGGTGCATAAGCTTTCCAAGCGCTGTCTTTGACTGAACCGCCGCCATAGTGAGAGCTTCAAAGAATCACTCTGATGTGCTTGAGCGTCTCGCGGAGAATGCTCATTATGGCTGAAGTGTCGTATTCTTTAAGAACACCGGGATACACTTTGTGAGCGCTGTCGACCCGAAATATAGAGTATTGTTGTGCCTAAGTGAAAAAAATGCACACGAAAAGCCTTTTCCAATGGCTTTATGTGCAGTTCCCTAATAATGACTTCAGTGCACACTTTTATAAACTTCAGTTTGTAAATGAGTTTAGTGAAGGAATATCTTTGAAATTCTTGAAGGTCAGTGCAATCCTTGACTACATTCAGAGCATAGCAATTAGATTATAGGTCTTTAGTCTGTGTGGTGACGTGCAGACAAGGGCCATGGCTGAACTGATAACACGTGTGGTTTAGCGGCAGCTTTAAGAGGCCACGGCTCTTCTATGTGCCATGCATCCGGAGCTGTGCTGGATGAGACACCTCTGCTGATCTGCTAATGGACCCGGAGCTGTAAGGCTATCCCCTGGCCCTGCTATGACCCCTTTGTGGAACTGAATTCCTCCAATTTTTGCGGGATCAAGTCACTTAATCTGTAGTACACGCCGAGGCCAGAAACAGAGGACAAGGGGAAGAGAGAGAGAGAGAAAGAGGACAGTGAGAGGTAGAGAGACGGTTACGCAGGAAATGAAAAGCACAGCAGTCTGACAATCTGAGGTAGCAGACAGTGTGCAAGAGACATGAGAACTGCAAGGTTTTCGCTCTCGATGGTTTTTCCTTACCAGCTTTAGTTTGCTAAATGTTGTACTTAGACATAATCAGTTACTGTGTGAAATATGCGTGATTAGCATGAGTAAAACGAAGGAACAGCGTCTTAATGAACAGGCTTGAATACAATCTCGCACCAGCATTGTTCTGTGAAGTTTGTGTCTTTGACTTCATCCCTGTCACTTACCAATCAAGAGTCTTCTTATTGAACACCACCTGCTCCCGGATAAAAGCAGGAATGCCTCAATACCAGAATGTGTCTGAAAACGAAAAGCGGATTCAAAAAGAATGTAGCTTTAAACAGGACGAAAGTTGCAAATGTATTTGGGAATCAGATAATGGTGCTGCTGGCCTATAGACAATAAAGCCACAGCTCTCCTCGGTGACCTGTTTCTCCGCACCAACTCCCTGGTGATGCCCAGCTGCGGTGGCCGTTCTGACTTTCTCATTACACACACACAGACACAGACACACACACACCATATAATGCAGACACACGAAACATGGACCTGCTATTGTGATTTATTCAGACGCCAACCTGTCTCACTTATCCTTAGTGGAACTACGGCGACGTGCTCGACTGCGTCTCGCCGACAGACTGCAGCGCTTTAACCGTAGTTAGTCATGCATCATTATAGTTTTGTCGAAGCGCTGGGTCCGGGAATGTCTGCAGATGGCGGAGGAAATGCACTGTGACAAAGATACTTATTGAATGAGTGAGTGTGAATGGTCACGAGGTGTTTGTCTGAGTAACGGTTACTAAAAAGAAACCAACAACCAAACCACATCATTTTTTATCTCCTCCATAATTTAGGACAGTGGTGGAAAACCACTGTCCTAAATTGCCACCTGCCAATTTTTTGCGTCCTACTGTAGGTTTATTTTTTACTTTGAGGCGAACATTTGGATGGTACAGGTGGAACAGCTATGGACACATAGCAGACGATTCGTCATGTAGGTTGGAGTTATATATTTCTGATGTTTCTTAACGCGTACACGTATACATGCATCATGTCATTTTAAAACGTGTTGTTTTTTAGTTATGTAAAAAATAGTTGTTTTCTATATATTGCCACGTTATACATATCCGAAGATTTTATTCTTGCCTTTTATATGAGCGATTCTCGATTCGTTTGCGGACGTCAAAATATTCTCAATATTCGTAGTTCAGGTTTTTGTCAACTGTATGTGCTGAAAATATAACATCTCTCTCTGGGTACTGAGAAAACAGACTAAGTGCAATGATAATTAGAAGGGTATCATTAGTAAAATTTTGGTTTTGTGACATGAATACGTTTAAAAAAACACTTAATCACCCCTTACGTTTTCTCTTAAATGTCTAAAATTAGATTAGGAGTAGGTGAAATTAAAATAATGGGGATATCATATGTTTATTAAGAGACATTTCTTTGTCTCACAAATATATTTTTGCCAACACCTTTTGTTCAGCCTCCTGTTGTGTCTGATGTGGGCTAACCTCATGGTTTGAAGGTCACACCTGCTGAAAGATAAGAATGTGTACAGTCCTACTCTGAAATAATGTCAGACGAGTTGTTGTTTTTTAGTTTTTTGATTTTGAGGTATTGTTTGATACTGTGCACGTCTGTGTCTGAGTACAGGTCTTTGTTGGCGGGAGGCTTTTATGCGTGTATTGATCCTACATTTTTTTCCGAGAATGATATTCCCAGTGTAAAATGGGAACACCAGAGTGTCTTTATAAACACTTAACCCCCATGCATTCAAGCTTTGTAGTTGTACAAAACTCATCTTGCAAACATTCTCCTAGCATAACTGTCACTTGTCATGTTCTCTTTTGTTCAATTTGTCAGAAGACAGTTTCATTATAGACGGCAGCATGTCTCACATGGGTATTCTTTGCTGAAAATAAAATGCTGTTAACCGCGTTGAATAGAAGCAGATCCAACGTTCATAAAAAAGGACTGGTTTCTTTATTCTTACAGGGAACAATGAACCCATTAACAAAATACTCACTCAAGGAGAAAAAAGTGATCTCCATTCCACATGATTATACAGTCCCATATGTTAACTGATTGCAATGTATCGAGCAATTGTATTCACTTATTAATCAGACTCAGAGAAATTAGAGCATCTATTCACTCCAGGATCTTTATTTAAATGTAGGAGGCCCGGAGGAAATAGTATGTATGTTTTCCCGATGTCCCAAAGCACGGAAATAGGTTCGCATTTCATCTCTCCGATCTGTGTTTTTGCCTAAGACATGTGCAGTTCCGTGCAGTCCTTTTAAATACTTGATTGGTCATTACGCTTGGATGAATTAATCATCAGCTTTAAAAGGCGTAGGTTGTAAACGTATTCGTTCCGTCGACATGACATGTCGTCGATTAGGAGCTTATGGGAGAGAAGTTGGGAAGTAAAAATACGCGTAGTCGCTTACCAGGGAGGGTCAGGGAGCAATGATAAGTACTGGCTGTCTTTTCTTCGCCTGTTCTGAGCTAAAGTGATCACGGGTCACCATGAAGCTGGAGAAACAATTACCCGGAATGTCTTGTGAACAGACTGTGAGCAGATGCTGGAAAACCACCACTGTCTCTACCGAGGTGAATGTTTGTAAAGCTCCCTGTATGGCCCTCTTAGTGAGATTGTCAGACATGCCTCGTTTGAAGAAAAAAAAGAAACAGATAATGAAAAGAAAAACCAATTAATGTAGTACCCCAGTGTGGGAAATGTGTTTGGTGTCATATGCCTCAATTGGCCCCCACCTCAACCACGTCCAGCCCCGGTACCACAAGACGTCTTTACCAGTCTGGGACCCCCCACTGTGGAGCGTCATGGCACTGGGAGTTGTAGGTGGAGCTCAGTCTGCACACCCCCCCCTCACAGCCCTCGGCCGTCTCTACCTTTGGTACGCTGCTGAAGGTTAAAGCAATCCCAGGTGGGTCTGCTCATGGCTCGGGTCTGGGATAACACCGTCACTAGTCAGAAGAACGGCAACTCCGCGGAGAGCCGGACCTTGAGGCATATTTCCCTTTCATCGTCGTGTTTTGTAGCTAAACGGTCGAGCGTGGCGCTTGCAACGCCGAGGTCTAAGGTTCGATTCCCACGGCGCATTTTAAGATGCGTGTCCCGGTTTGGAAGGGAAGTGACGCCTGTCGGATCGCTTCTCATCTTGTAAAATACAAACTAGTTAAATGTTGTGTTTTTTATATGAATATTCAGATAAGGGAACTCATTTATAATAATGACATCACCCAGTAACACGTCAACTAATCAACGTTGTGTGTTTGTGAGGAAACTATCATCACGTATTTGGCGGGCGTTCCTTTTAGCTAGACTGAGTATGACAGGGTTCTGTGGTGACCACCTCTGGACAACAGAGGCTAGAGAATCGGCATTGGTATTGAGGGCAAAATGCAACGGTTTAATGTTTGTTTCTGCACATGTGACTGACGACACCTGCCACACCATTTCCACAGAGAAACCGTGTGTCGTCGTTTGTTGTGTAGACATGTACGTCAGATGCAGCCTTAATACTTCACACGTAGACAAAGCCCTGCTATATAGAAACGGGAATTCCCACCAATATTCTAGAACAGAGGCAGTAACTTAAATATTTGCTTTTCAGAAGTGTTGACATATTGCCAAAAGTACACATCCATGGCTTGGCTCTCTGTCTTGTTTGCTTCCCTAATCAGGCTTTCATTCGGGTTAAGTTGGTGTCATCACCCTCCCATTTGGAGTGCAAACAACAGGGGGAGTCTATCTGCTGGGTCCTCTGGTGCTGTGGGTTAGAGAATAGTACCATCCGGTGCTGCTGGGTTCTCTCGTGCTGTGGGTTATAGTATAGTACCAGCCGGTGCTGCTGGGTTCTCTCGTGCTGTGGGTTATAGTATAGTACCAGCCGGTGCTGCTGGGTTCTCTCGTGCTGTGGGTTAGAGTATAGTACCAGCCGGGGCTGCTGGGTTCTCTCGTGCTGTGGGTTAGAGTATAGTACCAGCCGGTGCTGCTGGGTTCTCTGGGGCTGTGGGTTATAGTATAGTACCAGCCGGTGCTGCTGGGTTCTCTGGTGCTGTGGGTTAGAGTATAGTACCAGCCGGTGCTGCTGGGTTCTCTGGTGCTGTGGGTTAGAGTATAGTACCATCCGGTGCTGCTGGGTTCTCTGGTGCTGTGGGTTAGAGTATAGTACCAGCCGGTGCTGCTGGGTTCTCTCGTGCTGTGGGTTATAGTATAGTACCAGCCGGTGCTGCTGGGTTCTCTGGTGCTGTGGGTTAGAGTATAGTACCAGCCGGTGCTGCTGGGTTCTCTGGGGCTGTGGGTTATAGTATAGTACCAGCCGGTGCTGCTGGGTTCTCTGGTGCTGTGGGTTAGAGTATAGTACCATCCGGTGCTGCTGGGTTCTCTCGTGCTGTGGGTTAGAGTATAGTACCAGCCAGGGCTGCTGGGCTTCTTGAAAGAAGAGACTCAACTTTGGGTTGGGTTAGCAGAAAAAAGAGAGCGGGGAAGTTCAGGACCAGGATCAGTGGCTGAGGCAGCTTGTAGTACCCTGAGTCAGTGCGTAACACTAGCAGCTGTAGACTGATCAGTGGCTGAGGCAGCTTGTAGTACCCTGAGTCAGTGCGTAACACTAGCAGCTGTAGACTGACAGTCCCCTCTGTGGAGGCGAGTGCTGTGCTGTTACGTCTAGGATGCAGACTAGTGTGTAATGTCGACAGATATACACGTAGCTAGTTGCGATTGGTAGTGAAAATGTACGAGGGCTCGTAAGGTCGCTGTCGTCTCGTGGTGCGGCGTTGAAGATTAGCAGTTCACCTCGGTGAACCTCGGGGAGAGTCACAGCAGACAGCTAAGGGTTTCACCAGGCTCAAACAGGGGGGGGGGGGGTATTTAGCCGCCTCAGACTCCAGACCGTTTAGACATTTACATTAAGTTGTGCTAGCTGAGTTACACACACACATATACCTGAGTCGGTATACACACGTCTCATAGAAATGGCCATGTGTGCCGAAACGGGTACTATAATTGTACCTAGCATGTAAAACTTTTCAGTGTCTTTATTACGCATGAACCTTCAAAACCAATCTCATTATTTATTTTATCAGGATGTATATTAATAAATATAATATCACATATGCCTATGTGTAAACGATGTACTGATATGGAATAGTTAATCTACTAATACTGGCAAATCTTTACAGCAATTAAAACGGTGAGACGTCCAACCCAGCCTGTACCCTCAAACCCATTCGCGTTTTCCCGATTTTATTTCCCGAATAAAACTGTTTTAATCTCCCACTGTGAGGATATTGAACCCTCTCGCACAGACGTATTGTTAACCAAAGCTTATTTAAAAGATGGACATCAACGTTGCGTGCGCTCATTTATTTCATAGCGCCCTAATTGGCCACCACAGGCATGAGAACAACACACATTCCAGAATCGGAGATATGGAGCCGCCGGGCTAAAGAAGAGGCTGTCTCCGGGTCTCTAGGTGGATTCATTGGCAATAAATCCATGAAGTGAAATTGCGGTGCTCTCCAAAAGACTATGGAATTTCACCCAAAAAAACATTAGAACAGGTAAGAGTGCGAATGAGATGGACGCTTGTAGCGTGAAGGGCCGGTCTCTTCGCTTTTTGCGTGCGTTTGGACATATGATGTGCATTATTTGACCTTGAACCTCGTGGTCTGACTGATGTCCGTGGGGTCGGTGTGAATCGAAACCAGCGCTAGAATTTACAGGCGACGCCGGTCTGAAGAAGGTCAGTGTGTTCTGAGAAGCAACGCTGTTTCGAGGTACTCGACGTTAGCAATCTTAAGGTCGGGGTCATAGCCGCGACTCTTCATCACGACACTCCGTCGCCGCGATGCCGCGGTTCGTATTCGGCTATGTTTTCTAACTCACGGGGCGGCAGGAAACAAGTCATTAATTCCCCGCGTACAAAAACCAAATGCCATTTTGAACGCGTGCTCTCATTAACCCGCCGCCTAATTGTCCGTCTGCAGTCAAAACCGCGAGGGGGGCGCCTGGGTCCGACCCTCGTTGTGTCACCTGTGGGCTGCTGTGGTACTAAGGCCTAGCCAGCCAGCGATCCGGTGCTCTATTAGGTGTGCACCAGACAAAGACCCAGAGCAGCCGAGGTTCTCTCTGCGCCGCCACAATGTCCCTGCCGTTAACGCCTTCCGCTCCAATTAAATCAGCGACTGTTAATTACTGTAATTATGAGCGCGAGCCCCGTCGTCGTCCCCTCCCCCCTAATCCCCCACCTCCTACTCCCCCACCTCCTCGTCAATCTCCCGGTTCGTGGAGCGGTTGTGTTGCTTCGGCGGCGCGTCTTCTCTCTCCGCTCCGGTGACGGCATTGTGGGGAATTGAGCGGGGCGAGGGACTTGATTCACTTGACGGGGGTGACGTGGGGTGGACTGTATACTTCCTGGATGACTGGAGGAGGAAGTCCCATGGTCCGTGTGGACACGCCTCCTGGAAATAAACGCTGTGCGTTATAATTGGATATCAGACGACGAAGAGTGCAAAGTGGAAAATAGTCATAGGGTGAAATTGAACTCAATCATTTTCCCAAGACCAATCGGGTCAAGTAATTATTACTGAAAAAATATTTTATGGTGAATCCATGTTGATTAAGAAGTCAGGCACAGGAGGCAGTGTTGTATTGTGAATGATACAGTCCCAGGTGAATGTCTCACAATACAGCACTGACTACTCTTCTATAATTAATTGGCAACATATACAGAAAAATTGCCTGAATATTTGAATGGAGTTGTTAATCGAATTCAGTTGTATTCTGCCTCTACAAGATATAGTTTGGACAAAATCTGCTTGTTGTTGATGTTTTTTTTCCGTAGTTTCTGTGTAAAAACACTGGTTGTCTATTCTATCAAAAGTGATGGTCATGTAGGCTGGCTAAAGTTTAGGTTGGTAAAGTAATATTTTATATTTATTTTATATTTCCATTTTGTTGGATGAATACATGATGAGAGTAATCATTTTGATGCTTCAATTTTGACAGGCTCAGTGGAACAATAAATAAAGTGTGTCATTTCCCTCATGGTTACAGGCTGGAGAGGTCCCATATGACGTGGAAATAGTCTTTACATGTTCAAATTGACAGACTGACATGCTCACATTAACCGTGGACAAACACAGCAGATGATTTGGACGGAAACGTGAAGGCGTCGTTATGTTAAGTTATGGCGGCTCAGTGAGCGTTTTCAGGCAGATCCGTGCGCAAACACGCAGACTGTGATGGCCAATAAGCTTATTTTATTGTTTTCTCCTGATGGATATGGTGATGGTTAAGTAAAAGAGCAGGCAGCCTTTCCGTTAGTCTCTGTATTTCTTAGCAGCCTCTCTGACCTGCTTCTGTCACCTGGCGTTTCTGGGACTCAGCACTGATCGTTCCAGCTTCTCTCGCACTGCAACCCGACCCGCAGAATCAGGCCCGCTGCGCCAACAGACATTATTCTTCTCTTTAGGTACATGAGTTTGGCTGACCTGAACACTGTGTCCCTCTGAGTCACGGTCATCATTGGCACTGTAAAAATAATTCTAGAGGTTTTTTGTTGTTGCAGTAAATCCTCTGAGGAAACTCCTGTTCGCCTACAAATTGCAATCGAAGCTACGTATGCGCTAGCTCATCGAGGGAGAACGTGTTAATATACAATTTGGATTCATTCTTCCCTCTTCCATTGCAGTGGAGTTTTTCCTGTGGATACACTGCTGCGAAATGTAAATGATGAACTGTCAACTCTCGTGTGGAAATGCCACTCCAAGGAATAATCTGTCTGGCACTGGCTCGTTGTCCTCTGTAGCCTACGGTCCCAGCGCTGCTCTGTTCTTTATGTGGGCATGAGCAAACACATGCATTAAACGCATGCATTAAACACTGCATTAAATGCATGCATGCCCAGACACACACACACACGACACACACACAGCTAAAACAATTTCCTTAAAGAAATGCAGTGAACACATGCGATTAATAACAGAAGTAGTGTTATTTGTTTCACCCCTTAGCATTGGATTATTGTATGGTTTCATGCTTGTTGTATGTTTAGAGCGAACAGTGGGTATCTGTATTACTGACTGGTTGTCACG